TATATATATATATATATATATATATATATATATATATATATATATATATATATATATATATATATATATATATGGGAAAAGGTTACGACATTATATACGGACCACCACCTGATCAACTAGTATACGTTGATGATTTTACCCACATTGGCCGAGATGATATGATGGGATGCCCTCAGAGGCTTGATGTGTTATGAAACATGTATCTATGCACGACATGACATTCATGCGCATATGCATGACACTATAATTATTTCATAATTTATAGAGTTATCCAGACTTACAGGTTGAGTCATTTACTCTATATTTCTTCCATGTCTGTTATGTACTTATTTATGTGCCTTACATACTCGGTACATTATTCGTACTGACGTCCCTTTTGCCTGGGGACGCTGCGTTTCATGCCTGCAGGTCCCGATAGACAGGTCGAGAGCCTTCCAAGTAGGTTATCAGCTCAGCGGAAGACGTTGGTGCGCTCCATTTTCTTCGGAGTTGCTTGTTTGGTTAGTATGATGTAGACGTGTATTGTTTGGTATGGCGGGACTCTGTCCTGACCTTTATGAAAATTATGTATTCTTAGCGGCTTGTAGACAGATGTCATGTACGTAAAAGATTGTAGGGCCTTGTCGGCCTATGTTCAGTATACGAGTGGTTATTTTGGTCTTATCGACCAGTATGTCTTATGTATAAGTTGGTATCACATGTTGTATTCTACTTATCTCACGGCAGCCTTCCGGCTCAGTTATCTGTGATAGTATGACATGAAAAGATACGTTATGTTGGTACTCGGTTGAGTAAGGTACCAGGTGCTTGTCGCGGCCCATCTGTTTGGGTCGTGACACGAATAATCTGAAACTAGTCAAATGTTGTATAAATTAATCAATATATGTTCAAAAGCTCATATTTTAACTATTAGCGTAATTACCCAACCCCAATTGAAAGGTTCCTAAAATTTATCCCTGGGCCCACATGCTCAGATTTCGGAAATTTTCGAAGAGTCATTACCCATAACCTCATGAACTCAAATATATAATTTTCACTCAATTCTATAACCATTTTCGTGGTTAAATCCCATTTTTATCAAAACTTAGGTTTTTCATCTAAACCCATGATTTTTCAGAATTTTACGTGTTAAAATCTACCCATAATCTATGTTTTAAACTCATATTGTATAGAAATTATTTCCCTCAAAGTGCTAGGTGAAAACCCCCTTCCAAGAGCTCCAAAATCACCCAACAGATGAATGAAAAACAACAACAACAACCCAGTAAAATCCCACTAGTGGGGTCTAGGGAAGGTAGTGTGTAGGCGGACCTTACCCCTACCCCGAAGAAGTAGGGAGGTTGTTTCTGAAGACCCTCGGCTCAAGAAGACGACACAAAGACATAATATCAGTACCTCCAATAGAAAATATAGGAAAAATAACATCATGAAAATGAGAAAGTAGATGCAAAGGAAAAACGATAGACAGTGTATAGACCAGGCGCTATGAAAAATGAAATAGTAGTAAAATAGTAGTAAGACACAACATTACCACTAGCTGACTAGAAAAACTACCACACTAGCCTCACAAAGGGACGAATTAAGGAAAGACTCAACTATCTCCTAACCTACAACCCTAATACTCGACCTCCACAACTTCCTATCAAGGGCCATGTCCTTGGAAATCTGAAGCCTCGCCATGTCCTGCCTGATCACCTCTCCCCAATACTTTTTAGGTCGTCCTCTACCTCTTCTCGTGCCCTCCAAAACCGGCCGCTCACATCTCCTTACTGGAGCATCTGGGCTTCTCCTTTGTACGTGTCCGAACCATCTGAGTCTCGCTTCCCGCATCTTGTCATCAATGGGAGCCACGCCCACCTTCTCCCGAATATCTTCATTCCTAATTTTATCCATCCTAGTGTTCTCGCACATCCACCTCAACATCCTCATTTATGTTACTTTCATCTTCTGGATATGTGAGTTATTAACATGCCAACACTCAGCTCCATACATCATGGCCGGTCTAACCACCGCTTTGTAAAACTTACCTTTGAGTATCGGTGGCACTCTCTTGTCACACATGACTCCAGATGCTAACCTCCACTTCATCCACCCCAGCCTGATACAGTGTGTAACATCTTCGTCGATCTCCCCTCCCCCTGGATAACCGACCCAAGGTACTTGAAATTGCAACAACTTGGGATGACCTGTGATTCAAGCCTCACTTCCACACCAACTTCCCTCGGCTCCACACTAAACTTACACTCCAGGTATTCCGTCTTTGTCCTGCTCAACCTGAAACCCTTAGACTCAAGAGCCTGTATCCAGACCTCCAACCTCTCGTTCACACTGGTTCTCGACTCATCAATCAGGACTATGTTATTGGCGAATAACATACACCACGACACCTCCCCTTGAATATGATGTGTTAACACGTCCATCACCAGGGCAAATAAGAACGGGCCGAGCGCAGAACCTTGGTGTAACCCCATAACAACTGGAAAATGCTCAGAGTCGCCTCCTACTGTCCTAACCCGAGTCATATCCCCCTCATACATGTCCTTAATTGCCCAAATGTAGGCAACCGACACGCCTTTTGCCTCCAAGCATCTCTAGAGAACTTATCTAGGAACATTTGTCGTACGCTTTCTCTAAATCAATAAACACCATGTGCAGATCCTTCTTTCTCTCCCTGTACTGTTCCACCAACCTCCTAATAAGGTGTATAGCCTCCGTAGTAGAACGACCCAGCAAGAACCCGAATTGGTTGTCACATATAGACACCGTCCTCCTCACCCTCTGCGGAAGAGCGACCGCTTCTGCGGCTCCGCATCTGCGAAAAAATCATCGCAGGTGCGGCCCTTGCCTAGTTGGCCTACTTCCGCATCTGCGGACCACTGGCCTACTTATGCGGGTCTGCTGTTGCGACGCACGTGCCGCACCTGTAGTTTTGGCCGCTTCTGCGATTTCTTCCATCGCACCTGCGCGTTCACAGGTGAGCACACTCATCCGCATCTGCGGTTCGTGGGTTGCTCCTGCTAGACCACTTCTGCGAGCTCGCACCTGCGGCTAGCCCTCCGCAGGTGCGATTGCACCAGAAGCTGGGTGCTTCAGCCATTCACCCAAGGCTAAACGAGCTCCGCGAATCGTTTGAAAGGCATCTGGGGCCTGCGAGGCCCCATCCAAACATACCAAGAAGTTTGAAATCATAAAACGGACTCGCTCGCACCCTTAGGATGCGCAAAACAACATTAAACTTAAGAATCACAGCCCATAACCAATAGGATCAACTTATGAACTTCCAATTCTTCCAATTTACTCCTAATGCGCCGATTCGTACTTAAACTATTTGGAATGACACCAAATTTTGCGTGCAAGTCTTAAATCACCATACAGTACTATTCCTAGTCTCGGAATCCCAAACGATCCTCGATAATACCAAAACCTACTCCGAACCAAATTTAAAGAACTTTAAAGCCTTCAAGGTGCCAACTATCAATATTAAGTGCCGAAACGCTCCCGGGTTATTCAAAACCCGATCCGGACATACGCCCAAGTCCAAAATTGTCATAGAACCTATTGGCACCGTCAAATCCTGGTTCCGAGGTGCAATTTGTGCACATTTGTATCTTACTATAAGTATAAACATGATAATGTGATAATAAGGATTTTCAAGGTGCAACATATTCATTGGAGTTAATATGGCTGATTTATTCACCAAATCTCTGCCGACGTCAACCTTCAAGAAGCTAGTGCACAAGATTGGGATGTGAAGGCTTAAGGATGTGAATTGATGCTCTCATCATTGGGAGTTAATACGCGTTGTTCACTTTTTCCCTTACAAGATTTTATCCCATTGGATTTTCCTTACAAGGTTTTTAACGAGGTAACCAAAAAGTTGTATTATTAGATGTACTCTTTTTCCTTCACCAGATTTTTTTTCACTGGATTTTATTTTAGTTAAGGTTTTAACGAGACACATTATCTGTTGAATAGACATTCAAGGGGGAGTGTTAAAAATAGAATTGTATTTAAGGTGAATGTCAATATTTTAGAGAGATTTTAGGGTTTGTTACTTGGTGGCTGAGTCACTTTTCCCCTATAAATAGAGGGTCCTATGAATTTTGTCTCTACTTTTCTCCGCAATACTCTACTACTACTACTACTACTACTACTACTACTACTACTTCTTCTTCTTCTTCTTCTTCTTCTTCTTCTTCTTCTTCTTCTTCTTCTTCTTCTTCTTCTTCTTCTTCTTCTTCTTCTTCTTCTTCTTCTTCTTCTTCTTCTTCTTCTTCTTCTTTTATAACAATTTTTATGATTTTACACCTTTTTCTTTAACTTTTACTATACTATCCGTTCCAATTTATGTGAACCTGTTTGACTGGGTACGGAGTTTAAGGAAAAATAAAACTTGAGACGATGTACACGTGCTTTGACTAGTTCTTAAAATAGTATTAACTTGTTAATTAGATAAACTCACTACCTGACAACTGCCCTTAAAAAGGTGCTATTTCTACATCATGTTCCTTTACAATTTTAAATTTAATGAAATGACCTTTTTAGATGTGTAAAGGTTAAGTGTAAAAATAAATCTACAATGTGTAAAAAAAAGGTAGGTTCTTAAAACTAAAAACAAGTTTGTAAAGAGCCAAAAAAACTAGTTATTTGAAAAATAGAACATGAAATTTATTAGAACATATTAAGCTAGCGTTTGGCCATAAATCACAAATTTATTTTGAAAAATCTGATTTGGGTGAAGTTTCGTTTGAAGATGAAAATGTGTTTGGACATACGTTTTCAAAACATATTTTCCAACTTTATTTTGGAAAAACATGTATATAATTCCCAAGTTTTGGGATTTTGGCTCAAAATAGCTGATTTTGGGATTTGAAATTTGAGATTTGGGGTTTGGCCACAATATGAGCAAAATTTATGGCTAAAATTGAGTTTTGAAAATAAATTTCAAATTTATTTTGGGAAAACTACTGGCCAAACGGGCCTAAGTTACTTTTAAAGATAAAAATAAGTGTGGATAAGTCAAATCTTTAGCTTATATATATGCACATCTCAAGCAGCCTTTCAGCTCGTTGCCCCAAGATAAAGGAGGAGTAGAAATCTCCTAAAAATGACGGATGCCTCAATATCTGTTCTTTAAAATGGGCGTGGGCGTGGGCGTGGGCGTGGGCATGGGCATGGAGGATATAAATGGATAATATATAGTAAGAAAAGAATGGGAGAGACGGTGACATAACAAGCAACAGGGTTAGGGCGCCAGCGAATTTGACGGGCAAATCACTAACTCCTATTTATGGCGTCATTGGCACCAATATTTCATGATCATTATTTGCCTCGATTTAAGCACCATTCTCATTCCAATAACAATTCCTTCTTATGTTCCAATCCATATTCCTCCTCTTACCCGTACTGTTGTTCTTCATCGGCGTCCTTTAATTGGAAGAACTTTGTCATCTTTTCTGGTAAATTATTTTCCCTCCTTTTACAGCTTATATCAAATTCTAATTGAAATTTGTGCTTGCTCAAATGAATGTTAACATGAGGTGTTTGTTCTGTTGTTTGTTTGGCTACGCTTATGCATTTTAGTTTGATCGTTAATTGGATGCAGATTCCTTTAAATTTCATTCAGTTAGTAAATTGGTTAATGCTTGAAGGCTGAAGCAAGTGATACATGGATTAACACAGTAATGCTAAATACAAATGAGATCTTTGTTTTGAATTCTGTGCCTTGAGCAGATATGTGCAGATATTCTGTTGAAGCTGAAACATTCAACTCGTCTTCTATATGTTGAAAGTGATAAACCAGGAATACATATCTGTCTTAATTTGTCTTATTATTGCCAAGAAGCTTTCGTACACCTCAACTATTCCATCAGGGGCCACGATTTAGGTAGATGAGAAGAAATCACCCAACCATTTTGCCTCTGCTGGAATTCAGACCTCGGTCTCTCATGGTCTTCATCCTAGCTTCATCGATCGCTAGGCGGTACCCTTGGATGCAACTACCTTTGCTTGGAGTAGCTGTGTAGCTGTGTAGTTCTTCATTTGACTCTATGCCTTATTCTTTAGGTTATCTTTTGGGACCTTCAATATCAACTACCTTTGCTTGGAGTAGCTGGTATATCATTATAACCTTATTCTGTAAGAAAAACTCTAAAAGTAAACTTGGGTGGGTCAATTCCATAGAGCACCCTAAATGGGGTCATTTGCAGGGTTGAACGAAGCTGGTGTTGTACCATAGTCAGCCTAGGACAACCATTTGCACCACTAACCATTTGTACAGTCTCCCTGTTTGTCTACTGGTTCGTGGATGATAGGTTGAACTAAAGAGAATTTCGGTCTGTGGTCCCTTAAAACAACCCCTTCCAAAATATGCTAAGAAATATCTTGTCTTGGTCAGTCACGATACTATCTGGGGGAACCATGTGAGTTGTAGATATTTTCTAAAAATGGCCTGGTCACTTGCTGAGCAGTGGAAGGACCTGACAATGGGAGGAAATGAACGTAGTTACTATATCTATGCACTACCACAAAAAAGTATCCATACCCGCAGATTCAGGAGCCCTTCGTGGCAATGTTCGTCCAAACCTTATGAAGTATAAGCTAGGGATACAAGTGAAATATTAAGGAACATATCAACAATCTTGTATCTACTTCTTAATATCAGTCAACATTGAAGGCCAGTAGAACACACCTGTCATCATATGTTGACTAGCGAGGATCCTTGAATGACCCCAACCCCAAGAGATGAGGGGTGTGTAGAACTAAGTAGCTGTCCTCCAAGCTTACAAGTGCTGCCAATCTACATTTTAACATTCATTTCTGCAAAGTCAAGGATTGCATGCGGGTTAATATTATTGACTGCAACTATGACTTAGCCTGTTTGGTCAAGCTTCTCCAATCCTAGAAGCACCTTTTTTTTTCAAAAAAAAGTGCTATTTTTCCGAAGTTGAAGTGTTTGACCGAACTTTTGGAAGAAAAAAAAGTGCTTTTGAGGAGAAGCAGAAGTAGTTTTGGAGAATCAGAAAAAGTAGCTTCTCTCTAAAAGTACTTTTTTGAAAAGCACTTTTGAGAAAAATACACTAAGAAGCAGTTTTTAATAAACACTAATTGCTGCTCAGAAGTGCTTTACAAATTAATTAGTCAAACACAAACTGCTTCTAACCAAAAGTACTTTTGAGAAAAAGCATTTCTCAAAATAAGCTGATTTTTGCAGCTTGGCCAAACAGGCTATTAGTAATGTCCACATCACCTTCATATCTAGCTAGAACCTCCTGTGTCCAAGTAGGTTGTAATTGAATATGTTGCTACATTAATCAAGTTCTGCATGTCTGTGAGATAGAGCATCAGTAGATGAATAATCCACTCCTCCCTTGTAATGTATTTCATAGCTCGAATCCATAGTTTAGTGAAACCCTTCTACTATGGTTTAGTGGTGATCTTTTTGCCATTGAAGTTTCTCAAACTAAAATGATTGGTCTTTGCTGTAAAAGCGGTAGGCTGTAAATAATGCCTTCGTGCTTCTATTACAGTCCATAAGACAATTAACTTCTTTAATCTGTAGGCAAACCTTGACGTGTAGCACTTAGAGCCATCAAATGCCACAGCAACTAATTCAGGATATTTCTGGTTCATTGAGACACATAGATATTGCTTTTATAATTCACTCCCCCTATGTTAGTGTGTAGTTTGTCAAGAAATAATTTATGAGCATGTCTGCTGATATGTGAGTATTGAAATTGCTATGGGAACTCGATCATTTGGCTCTAGCATGTAATGATAATGCTATGTTCTAAATAACCGGAAATGAACTCTGGTACTCTACTTTAGTCAATTCCATGTTGCTTGTGGTGTCCTTCCACTTGTCGGTGCTGTAGCTTGCTTCCAGCCCATCCTCCTATGCAGGTTGTGTGGATATCTGCTAAATGATAAGAGTTGAAGCTGCTTCAGGGACTTACTGATATACTGGAATCTGCTTTAGGCAGTTCTATATTGCTCGTTATGTGCTTTTAGGTGTCAGCGATATGTACCTACAGCTGGCTTCCTCCTCTACTTTGGGTAGGTTGCTTGATAAAAAGGGTGATGTTAACGTTTGAAGTCTTATGTGTTTCTGGTGTCCTTTGGAAAATAATGAGCGTCAAGTTGCAACAGTTTGCTCCTGCTTATTTTATGAATTTGGAATATTAACTTTCTATATCATAATTCAGATATGATGACAATATGCTCTTTTGCAACTTCCACGTCTTTGTTTATGCTACAGATGTTTTGGATAGTATTGCATTTCTCTCTTTCTTTTCTTTTTTTTGCAAATTGTTTTTCTACAGTTTTGAGAAAGTTACCCGCCCTTTCAGCAGGCATAAATAGTTTTTGGAGAAATCGAAGCCTTAGAGCACAGGTGATGAGTTCAACTGAAAGAAGTGTTTTGTCACCAAGTTGGTTGTTGGACATGGAGGATAAGCCTGAGCATCTTCTTGTTCTTGTTCATGGCATCTTGGCAAGGTAGGCAAATTCTTTGCTCACCCAATGAGGGTAGCGTACATATATCTACTTTCTAATTGAAGTATAAAAGAGTACATAAAAAAAGGATCAAAAGAGAAAAATAGAAAGTGAATAATGAATGAGTCACTGTTGATATCAACAATTTGAGATGGCAAATGTGTAGGATAAAAGTTAAACAAACTAGTGTGTCACCTGTTTCCATGTTCATCCAAGCATACGTTCGGCTTAATTGATGTTATCCTTCTGCAAACAGAAAGCATTAGCATTTATAGGGTGCATGTGGTAGAACCTAAGAATAAGTTTCAAGAGGTAATAATGCATGTATCTTCTACATAACTGATAGAAGGTGTGAAGTCTTGAATGCAGTAACAGTTATTAATGGTTCTTATCTCTCATACATATCTCTTTATTGGGTTGTTTGATAGCATTATTTTTTACTTTGGTCAGGCCTAATCTTTGTCATTCTAAATTGCTGAAGAGAAAGTATCAGCAGGGAGAAATATCTTTGCAATCGGATAACAAATGAGTACAGTCAGACCTCTCTATAACAACTATCCTCTATAAAAACAATTCTCTATGACGGCCAAGTTTTCTTGGAACCGATTTTTTACGTGATGTTATATTATATATTCTCTATTACAACATTTCGTTATTGCAACCAAAAAATTTCCGGACAACGACACCATTATAGAGAGGTTTGACTGTACTTGATTATTGTGTTTTTTGCTGTTGGTATACTAGATTACTAGGTCTGGTTTCAAGTTGTCTTTTTTTCATTATTACAACATGTTTTACTTTTTCCCGAATTCCGAAGGAGCATGAAGTTCTATCTGAGCTTTCTCTCCTTGCTTCTCCATGGGTGACATGCATCACCTTTATCTATTTTGGGTGAAAATGCTTTTGTGGTATTCATGAGTCAAGCTTCTAAAGGCGGATGTACAATTACCTCAATTCATCAGGTTGTCGATGATATTGTACCTGATATTTTAATGGGTACTATGCTCATTGCTGATCACGTGCATAGATCTTATAGTAGCGTCTGTCACTCAACTAGCTTGTCATGTTGTTTGCATGGGATGCAGCCCAAGTGATTGGACGTATGCACAAGCAGAGCTTAAAAAGCGGTTGGGAAGAAACTTTGTGATCTATGGTATAGCTTTCTGTCCAAATTGTCTACTGTCATGCTTTCTTGCTTTTGCTTAATAGTTTTGATTTTCTTGCTTCAATTGCACTCTACTCTGAGATACTGAAGTGCCAAAAAGCTCTTGCTTCCATCACATGAGAATGTTGTATCCGTGAAAGTAAAGTATATTATGAATACTTCACTTCCAAAAATTACAAGCTGTGTAAACCAGAATATTTAACTCCAATACTTTTTGGAAGCTCGATGCATAACATTTCAACATTTGGAACAATCTTAATGCATTTTAAATGAAATGATTATTTGATTTGTCAGGAAGAAAGTTCTGGGTCCGAACACTTTACTTATATTCTGGTATAGAGAATCACACTCTGACAGCTTAGTAAGTTTTTGTCTATTAAACATAGGCGCTTTTCCATCGCCCTCGTTTTCCCGTCTGAATACAAGATGAAGTCACTGCGACAATTAACAACAAAGTAAGCTTTATGCTTCTCTCTAATTATTATTTTACTAAGGAACGGTAAACGAGATTAGCTATATATCCTATGCATAGAATCCAATTCTTTACATCTTTGCATCCCTTTTGAAAAGAAACTATAGCTCATTCAGCAAGGAAGGATGAGTAATTTCTGCATCGTCTTCTTTCCTCCATTCTTCTTGTCCTTATGGTCGAGGAAGCTTGAATTGCATTGTAGGAGTTACCTGTTAAACAGGATATGGATATTTTTCTCCAGTGCAGAACCAGATAAAGGGCAGCCCGGTGAACAAAGTATCCCTCATTCACGTAGAGTCCGGGCAAGAACCACATCCCTCATTCACGTAGAGTCCGGGCAAGAACCACACCCCAAGGGGTGTGATGTAGACAACCTACCCTAATGTAGAACCAGATCAGTGGGAAAATTTCAGTTATAGTTTTGGGAGAATAGTGTTCATGTCCCAGTAGAGTCAAGAAACTCTAGGTGATTTTTCTCCATCTACCTAATTTGTGGGCTGAGTTATATAGTACCTCTGTTAGTGGGAGGTAGCAGGTATCATATGGAATAGTTAAGATGCACGCAAGCTAGGTGTGACACCACCATTATAAAAAATAGCTTCTCCTTCTCCTTTTTAATTGGAGAAAAGAAGAGGAGAGGGTATGGAAGAGGAGAAGAAGACAATTAAGAGCAACCAATTTAGTTCTAATGGGACATGAATTCTTATGAAATGAACCTTTGGAATTGGTAACGGTGACTAAACTATAGTTTCAGCTGAATGTGGTTTCTTCTTCATGAAATAATTATGAATTTGAAGCCTGATCTCAGAACTTGAACATATGTTAAATGATGAACCAAAAGTTAGCCAGTTGGGATTGCCAGTTGACCCTTTTTCTTCCTTCTTTTCTTTGCAGCAAGTTCATGTAACACTTTCACTAAAACCTTCTCCGGGATTGATGGAGCTGGGAAAAGGCTAGCAGATGAAGTGAGTAAAAGAGGTGGTGCATGGACTTAGTTGTGCTTGTGATATTAGTACTACACACTGTCATGGTGTAAGTTGGGTCTAACTCTGGTGCAAATAAGCAAATATAGGGGTATACTCTCAATCAATCAAGCAATCAACTTCCCTTGGTCCCAACCTTGTTGGGCTCGCTATATGAATCGTTTGTACTCATTTTTTCTCTATTCTAGCATTCTTGAGTATTCAGATGTTTACTATTATTTAGACTACTTTTTCATTGGCCGTCAACGTACTCTCTCCCTCCTCCTTCATTCGAGCTTGGAACCAATTGTGCTTGCACATAGACGGAGTTTCTAGAGGTATATTTTATCCATCATAATAGATAACTGTAAATGGATGTAATCTGACCTGGTAGCTGCTATCCAGGAAGCTCGGCCTCCTAAACGGGATACGAATATGGCATAATGCGGAGACTTTTCTAGCAGTTCTGTGGTGGCGGATATGACCCTTTTCACATATTTACAAGAACTGAAAGAAACAGACCCATATGATATATTGTACTATCGAGTTTTCCAAGTTATCAGAAATTTTTTTCTCCTTTCGTCTGATCTCAAATGGTTCTTTGAATACTAGTAAAAGGACCTTCTCTCTGCCTACTTCTTCGAATTAGCAATGAACTTTTATTAATGCACCAGTAGTTATGCGAATTGGATTATCACCTTCATTTTTGAATAAAAAGTTCTTTCTTGATTTTCATGATGGAAGTGTTCAATCTGCATTCCTTATCATAATTTTCTTTTCAAAAAAACTGAGTGGTCAAATTGTTTCCAAGTACACTTCTCTGATTTGTAATCATAAAATTTTCCATTCCATGCTTCTCAGAAGTTAGATGCCTATTTTAAAGTTGTCGGATTTTACCTTGTGATTGCTGAATGATTTGCCTTTTATATACGTCACAACTAATTATGAACAGGTCATGCTGGTTGTAAAGAAGCGAGAGAGCCTAAAGAAGATTTCCTTTCTAGCTCATTCTCTTGGTGGATTGATTGCAAGATATGCTGCTGGTGTTCTTTATACATCAACCAACCATAGTGACCCTTCTGATGATGTGGTCGCTTCAACTAATGCAAACTTCAAAATGACATGCTTCTCAAATAAAGGCTTAATTGCTGGGCTGGAACCAATCAATTTTATCACCTTGGCAACGCCACATCTTGGTGTGAGAGGGAAAAAGCAGGTTAGTTCTCATGTGGCCATCTGTTGAATGTCTATGATGCTAATTGTGGTTCTTTCTTATTACAAGGTTTTTGGTAAATGTGATTTCTTTGGATGGTATTTGTGGTAATATATCCTTGAGAAGTTACTCGACTTTTTACCGTGGTAAATCCTTCTTCGGAAAATTTTTGTGAGGCATATAATAAAGTTTTATTGGAAAATTGAGTGTTAAAAGAGTTCCTGTTTTCGAATTTCATCAAATCATCAATATATGATTTTCAGTTGTCTTTACACATTTAATCATATACTGGCTTTGTTCTTATCCTGATTCATTTTTTTATAAGGTAAAGGTTTTATTAAATCGTACCAAGATGGTCAAAAGAAAGCACAAAAGCAAAGTACAGAACATGCAGCTATTACATTCTCCTTCCTAAGAGATCTAAAAAATCCATATATTGATTTAGACTTACTAGAAGGCTACTTTTACACCAGAAATACAAGTTTTGTAAGCATCTATTTTTAGTTCTAGGAATTAAGAATTCTCTGTCATTCAGAACAAGCCTTGTTCCCCTCCAGCCATATAGTCCAGCAAATGCACAATGGAACTGTCCTCCATATCTGCTTTTTAGGAACCACCTGTTGCTGCCAACTTTCCATTAATCCCTTCACATTTTGAGGCATCACCCAAGCAATACCTCTACAACAACATACTCATTTTAATCCTACAAGTGGGGTCTAGGGAAGCTAGTGTGTACACAGACCTTACCTCTACCTTGTGAAGGTAGAGAGGTTATTTCCGATAGATCCTCGGCTCAAGGAAAGCATAAACACAATAATTTTGAAAAAGAGATACGGTAATGGAGAAGCCATGCCATGGAAAGAAAAGCAGTAACAACAGCCAAAAAAATAAGATAATCGAAGCAAAAGAAACAACATGTTCTAATAAAAGTGTAAGAATAAGGAATACGGAAATAATACTAGTACTACGGGTATGGAAAAAAATTATAGGTATGAAAACCTTTCCACCGATGTTCTAATATAACCTTCCGATTCTATGGTTCTCCCTGGCTACGAGGCCTCACATGGGTAGAGTTCGATATTCCTTTGTCGATGGCTGACCCCGCTCTTTCCTTTCATCGGTCGGTAAGTGCGTCCTATTCCTATTAAGCGGGGCAGCAGTTGCTAAATAAAAAGGTCTGAAAAATGCTCGACTACCTACAAACCTACTACCCTAATCCTCGACTTCCACACCTTCCTATCAAGGGTCATGTCCTCGGTAAGTTGAAGATGTGCTTTGTCCTGCCTAATCACCTCACTCCAATACTTCTTCGGCCTGCTTCTACCTCTACTTGGACCCACCATAACCAACCTCCCATACCTCTTTACCACGACATCTGTGCATCTCCTCTTCACATGACTGAACCATCTCAGCTTCGTTCTCGCATCTTGTCCACCATAGAGGTCACTTCCACCTTGTCCCAAATATCTTCTTTCCTGATCATATCTCTCCTAGTATGCTCATACATCCATTTCAACATCCTAATTTCCGCCACTTTCATCTTCTGAACATGAGATTCTTGACTGGCCAACACTCCGTCCATTACAACATTGTCGGTATAACAACCACTTTGTAGAACTTACCTTTAAGACTTGGTGGAACATTCTTATCACACAAGATGCCGGATGCGAGCCTCTATTTCATCTACCCTTCTCCAATGACATCATCGTCGATCTCCCTATTACCTTGGATTATAGACCCAAGGTACTTGAAACTTTCTCTTTTGGGGATGATTGTGTATCCAACCTCACTTCCACGTAAGCCTCTGAAGTCAGGTCACTGAACTTGCACTCCAAGTTTTTTGTTTTAGTCCCGCTCAACCTAAAACCTTTAGATTCCAGGGTTTGCCTCAAGACCTCTAGTTTAGCATTAACATCGCTTCGTTTCTCGTCAATTAGTACTATGTCATCTGCAAATAACATATACCAAGGCATCTCCCCTTGAATGTGTCGCGTCAACTCATCCATCACCAAGGCACATAAGAACGAGCTGACTGCTGATCCCTATTGCAACCCCATCACGACTCGGAAGTGTTCCGAGTCTCCTGCCACTGTCCTTACTAGGTCTTGGCTTCATCGTACATGTGCTTAATCGCCCTAGTGTATGCTACGCGTACACCTCTAGCCTCCAAACATCTCCACAGAACCTCCCTTGGGACTTTGTCGTATGTTTTTTCTAGGTCGATGAACACCTTATGTAAGTCCCTCTTCCTCTCCCTATGCTGCTTCATCAATCTCCTAATAAGATTAATGGCTTCTATAGTCGATCGCCTCGTTATGAATCCGAACTGGTTCTCCGAAATAGACACACCCCTCCTCACCCTTATCTCCACCACCCTCTCCCAAACTTTTATAGTGTAGTTTAGTAGCTTGATACCCCTATTGTTATTGCAATTTTGAATATCAGCCTTGTTCTTGTACAAGGGAATCATTGTTCTCCACCTTAATTCGTCGGGCATTTTTGCCATCCTAAAAATGACATTAAACAACCCAGTGAACCCACTCCAAACCTGCCCTTCCTAGGCTCTTCCATAATTCCACTAGGATCTCGTTTGGCCCCGCCGTTCTTTCCCTGCTCATCTTACATATAGCCCCTCAACCTTCTCAACCTTTACACGCCTACGATACCCGCAACCCTGATTACTCTCGGGGTGCTCCAAATCACCCAGCACGATGTTCATGTCCCTTTCTTCGTTCAAGAGTCTATGGAAGTATGTCTGCCATCTACGTCCAATGTGTGCCTCTTCCACCAATACTTTGCCATCCTCGTCTTTGATGCACTTCACTTGTTCTAGGTTTCCGGCTCTTCTTTCTCTCACCTTAGCTAGCCTGTACTGCTTCTTACCCTCGCCTTTGTCCTTAAGTTCTTCATATAAGCATTCAAACACATCCTTTTTGCCGTCGTAACCACTAACTTCGCCTCCTTCTTCGCCGCCTTGTACCTCTTCCTATGCGTCCGCTTATCTTCCTCGTCTTGTGCTCCACTAATTTCACATACGCGGCCTTCTTGGCTTCCGTTTTCCCTTGGACATCTACCAACGTTACCCCTCGAGGCACCCAAACCTCTCTAGTTGCTTCCCGAATGAAACTAGCAGTCCTATCCACATGTTTGCATCCCTACTACTCCCTCAAGCCCCCATCTCACCAACTTCTCCCTCATCATCTGAGCTCTGACAGTAGTCAAGCCAACCCATTTGATCCTTGGCCTGTCGCATAAAGCCCTCTTTTTTCTCTTCCACTTATTCTCTAAATCCATCACCAAGAGCTTATCTTAGATTGTGAGATCCTCACTCGGGATAACCTTGCTATCACCTTCCTAAGGAGTAAGTAATCTTTGTGAGTCTTAGCCACCGTACTATGAAAGGTCACCAAATGCTCCTCCTTCCTTGGAAAACTCGAATTAGCTATCACAAACTCAAAAGTTTCCGCAAAATCCAAAAGCGAGACTCCTCACTCGTTTCTATCCCCAAAACCAAAACCACCATGTACAACGTTATAACCCCCTAAAGTTGTCCCGATGTGGCCATCAAAATCTCCTCCTATGAATAGCTTCTCAGTGAGCGGTATACCGATCACAACCTCATCCAAATCCTCCCAAAATGCTTCTTGGCCTCCTCTCCCGATCTCGCTTGAGGTGTGTAAACACTAATTATGTTTAAAGTAAGCTCTCCAACGACTAGCTTAATCCCCATCATCCCGTTGTTAACCCTCCTAACCTCTACCACCTGCTCCCTGAGTTTCTTATCAACTAAAATGCATGCTTCATTCCTATTCTTCGAGCCTCATGAGTACCACAATTTAAACCAGTCCACATCCCGTGTCTTAATCCGTACCCATTTGGTTTCTTGGGCTTAAGCTATATTGATCCTCCTTTTCTTGAGAATCTTGACCAACTCTATAGACTTCCCGTCAATGTCCCTATATTCCAAGACCAAACTCTCTTCCTAGAGAGGCTCCCTTAACCCACTTGCCACCCTTGGCCCTCACCCCCAGCCTCAACCGAGGAATGACCTTAATATACCATCGTTCATCAGAGCCACTACAACAGGTGTAAACTAATTAGGCGTTTACTAAAAATGACAATAAAACAAGCGGCGATTCTAGAGTTAAAGAAAGGCAAGTGGGACTAAATACAAGCATCGATATTAAAGGACAGGAAAGCAAATACGAATGAGCGAAACAGAATATAGCAAATCAAGAAATATAGAACCTGGATTGTAGTCGGAGACGTCAAGACGATGTTGCCACTCGTTGGGCAGGAGGAATTACAGTAGAGAACACCTGGATGGAGGTCGACGGAAACAATGGAGCTCATCGGAAAACTGACCGGAATGACTATATCCCGTCGGAACTGGCAGGAACTTGGGTGGTTAGGTCGATTTGAGGAGGGACCACCAAAGAGGGAAAATCTTGCCGGAAATCTGACTGTATGGTTGTTCACGCGCCGATGCGTGGCTGGATCTCGCCGGAATAGTCCTGGTTCAGCCGGCCCTGTTCACTGTACACAAATGCAAACACACACACACACACAAGGAGAGGGAGAAGGAGAGAGGAGAGAGGAGAGAGAAGGGGTGGGATGTTTGTCGCCGTCGCTGGGTTGGTCACCGGTGGTGATAGAACAGCTCAGGGAGAAGAAAAGAAAGAAAAGAAAAAGAAGGAAGAGAAGAGGAGAGAGAGAGAGAGGAGAGAGAAGGGGCCTACCTGCTGGGGATGGTGGTCTCCTGCGCTGGGTTGGTCACTGGCGGGGAAAGAGTCGTTAGAGAGTTCAAAGAGAGAGAGAGAGAGAGAGAGAGAGAGAGAGAGAGAGAGAGAGAGAGAGAGAGTGTGTTTGAAGAGAAAGAGAGGTAGGACCTCACTGCAGATTATGTAGCAATCCCAAGCAATACCTCTAATGGTTAGAAAAAAATCTCAACATTGTCTGGCAAAATTGCAATGGGGAAAAAGATGTCAACTGGTTCCTGATTTTCTTGACATAGATAGCATCTGCTGCATAGGAAAAAAATCCCTCTTCTGCAAGTTATTCTGAGTTAAACATGCCCTGCAAGCTGTTATCCGCCCAAAGCAAGCTACCATGACAGGAGCTTTTGTCTTCCATATCATCTTCCAGGGCCAAGAAGCTTTGCACTGTCCTGATTGCTTAATCAATAGTCTGTAGCAGTTTTTAACTGAATGTTTTTTGTCTTTGCTTGCTAACCAAAGCAAGGAGTCCATTCTATCATGATCGATACAAACTAATTCCAACTGCAGAAGTAACCGACAGAAAAGCTCCATCTCCCAGTCATTTAAATTCCTTCTGAAAACGATTTACCAGGACTTGAATGAAAATCAGCAAGTGTACCTTCATTATCTGCTGAACAGCTGAACAGAATAGGGAATTATCCTTCAGGTACTCGTCTCCAGCCCACAAATCTGTCCAGAATCTAATTTTTAATTCCATCATCCACCCCCAATCTGGTGAATTGATTAAATTCTCCCTAAAGCTTACTTATGTTCTTCCAGACTCCCCTTTTAATATTTCTCCATCCTTCCTCTTTGCCATGAATAGCATTTTAGCTCCTTCCAAAACTTCATTTCCTTCCATGTAATACCTCCAAAGCCATTTGACTAGCAAACTTTTATTGTTTAATTTCGGATTTCTTACACCCATTCCACCCCCTTCTTATCCCTCAGAACCACCTGCCTTTTGACCAGATTAATTCTTTTCTCGTCTTCATTGTCATCCCATAAAAACCTATTTCTTGTTGAATTCAGTTTTATTCTCCAATGCTGCTGGCATTGAGAATATGGACAGTAGGTAGGCAGGCATACCATGTAGTACACTTTTAATGAGAGTAAGTTTGCCCCCATTGAGAAATATTGTTTCTTCCATGGGTTAGTTTATTAGCACATCTATCCAGAACACCTTACCAAATGTTCTTATCCTGATCTATTTATCTTGAATGGAATCCTCTTCATGGGTAATCCTACGTTTAAATGGAGTAGTTGGTACTTAATTCAATCAATCAGCTCTGCCTTGAGCCAAAAGAAGTTAGGTCGTCTATATGAATCCTCTTAAACCATTATATTTAATTCGGATCCAACTTGTTCCTTGCTTACATTCCATGGAAAATCAAGATTCTCCAAAACTAGAGATTCTCTAATTCTCACATATATATACTAACCCATATACTGATCTGCAAGTCCCTTAATCAGGCTAAACTGCCAAAATGGCGGATCTAATGCAAGTGTAACAACAATAACTAAAAGCCTTAATCCGAACAAGTTGGTGTAAGTCATTACTTTTATTGTGTTCTTTCCTCCGCCAAATGAGCGTTGATGATGAATAATTGGTGCTTGTGGAATGAAAACTGACATCAGCTATTGACAACTCATAAAAGAAACTAACTTCAGTCTTTGACAAGGTAAATCAACAGATTTTGTGGTGTTCCATTTTAAAGCAAAATTTTGACTTTTGGAATTGTATCTTGGTATTATATTCTTTTGCTGGGGTACCTCATGATCTCTAGAATAAGGCACAAAGATATTGATGGTTAATTAAGGTTTGTGTACTTTCCCAGGAGAAATATAATCGTTGTTGTTCCCAAATTTGATAGTTAACCCAATAGAATGTCAATGCGACAATTGTATTAGGAGAAAAAGATCCAAGTCTCATGTTAGCATTTGCTGATTGTTTTGTTTGATAGTTCTTTTCATTACTGAGAAATACTCGGGGCCAGCTGCCGCACGGTTTGAAACTCGGTTGGTAATGGCCCACTGCTCTATCCTTCTCCACAATACCATGATTTTGTCGACAACAGTATTCGAACTCGTAACGTGTGCCTAACCCACACATAGTTTTGTGCTCTTACTACTTGACCAAAGCCTTAGAGACTAAAATTTTCTTTATCTCCACGATTGTTTTTTGAAAATTATTCGAAAGAGACTTGTTACTCCCATTTTATTTCTGTCTAGGGCCTCTCCGTAAATTGAAATATTCTAGAGTACACTCTCAGCTGGTACAAAGAATTAGAAGAAAGTGATAGGCACTATTTCCATAATTTTCTACTATGATGTGTTGATCTTCTTGTCCTAGTTAACTGCCGTCTTCATTAAGGCCCATTTTCTAGATCAATGCTGGTAACTACATTATTTGATACAAAAACCGAAGAAGTACTCATGTATTTTATTTCTTATTGGAAGGCAAAAGAAGCACAAATTGATAGTTTACATTTAAAAAGTACTCCAAAGAAACTAGAAATTATCCTTGTTTCAGGAAAGTAGATGCCATTTAGGGATGTCAAAAGTATAAATGATGACTCTTATTATGCAATATATAGAAGGTATGTAACCAATATAATCAGAGTTATTAATATTATTCAAGAAGGAAATATGACAGACAAAAAATGAAATAGCTTATCATATCTGCAATAAATTCTTTAGGTCAACAAAAACCCCAAATGGGTGATGTTTTAGGGTCCAGTTATCTTCCCTCCTTGCGTCACAGGATATACAAATCCGGGAAAGTAATTGGTAGGTTTTATTCATCAGCAAGTGTTTTTATATAATCCAACTGTAAGATAATGGCTCCAGCAAGATTTGAACAATTTTTGTGATTATTTATGTTGGCTCTTGACATCCCGACTGTTGATTATCTTTTATTGTTTAGCTTCCATTTCTCCTGGGAGTTCCTATATTAGAGAAACTCGCAGCACCAGTTGCTTCCATTTTTGCTGGTCGAACTGGTAGTCAGCTCTTCCTCACAGAGGGCAAGCCCAACAAACCACCTCTTCTACTTAGAATGGCATCCGACTGTGATGATGGTAAATTTATGTGAGTCAAAAAATCTTTCTACCCCGAGCAGCAGTTTCCTATTCCATCTTTAAGCTTCTTACACATGTTTTTTCCTTCTTGCAGATCGGCCCTCGGTGCTTTCAAATGTCGTGTTCTTTATGCTAATGTCTCTTATGACCGTATCCTTTGCATCTCCTTGTAGTTTCTCAAGCTTCATATTTCCTTTAAATTTATATATATATATATATATATATATATGTGTGTGTGTGTGTGTGTGTGTGTGTGTGTGTGTGTGTGTGTGTGTCAGTTTTCTTTTTTCTCTTTTGGCTAAAGTAATTTCTTTTTTTGGTTTCTATTATTAGTTTTACTTCCCTTGCAGTAATTGCACTAATTTCTTGACATAATCTAGATATGGTTGGTTGGCGTACATCCTCTATAAGAAGGGAGACAGAACTTTTCAAGGTGATCTTATAATTATTAAATACTCTATTACTTTTCAAGAAGATAATCATTCATTCTGATTAGATGTCTACAATATCGCACTATGAATTCGGGTAGTTAGTCTGGATAAATTGGTGTGAGGTCAAGTATAGCTACTGTTTCAGGTAAAGAGTAATTAAACAAGGTTCAGATCTAAAGTTTAAGCTTTCATTATGTTCTGAAATAGGCATATTGATTATTTGCAATCATGAAACACTCACAGAGTGCTGAGGTTTTGATGACTCAGACAAGGGCTTTCCTTTCTCTCATGCAAACTTTGTTTTCTTTCTGTTCAAGCTGTGTTTCTCTTAGAGGCTTTAGTTGGTTAACTTTAGTGGTAATTTTTGTATTAGCATTCTGTAGTATGATTCTATTCTCGTGGGCTTTCTGATGCGAAAATGATTTAATGATAAACAAGACCTCGTAATGTAATTTTCATATTATACTTAAATGCTAACCTCTTTAATGCTTTCCGCAGCTCTGTGGCGGATAGAGATTCAAGTATTGTAGGTCAACCTTCAGATTTGTAGTCTAGCGGTTAGGACATTAGGCTCTAAAATCCACTAACTCCGAGGTCAAATCTTGCTGGAACTTTTACCTTGTTGTACCTTTAGTTTCTACTTGGTCTTTTTTTTATAACCCTGGTGTCCAAGCCAGCTTGCACGCACCTCGACTAATTCCACCGGATACCTGTCACCTCCCACTAGCAATAGGTACCAGGTAACTCTATCCAACAAGACTTGGATAGATGGGAAGAAATCACCTAGTGTTTTTTGCCTCCGCTGGGATTTGGACCTAAAACCTCATGATTCTCACCCACTTTATTAACCACTAGGCCACACCCTTGGGTGCTAGTTTCTACATGGTATAGCAACTAAAGAATTACCCTAGTTGCTTTAATGTGGAGAAAAAGATGCGAGAGGTGAGGCTAAGATGGTTCGGGCATGTTAAAAGGAGAAGCACAGATGCCCCAGTCAGGAGGTGTGAGAGGTTGGCCTTGGGGGTACGAGGAAGGGTAGAGGTAGACCAAAGAAGTCTTGGGGAGAGGTGATCAGGCGGGACATGGCGCAACTTGAGCTAACCGAGGACATGACCCTTGATAGGAGGGTGTGGAGGTTGAGAATTAAGTTAGAAGGTTAGTAGAAAGTCGAGCGTTTTCCTTTGTCTTCCTTAGTTCGATAGTATTAGTGTTTGTATGGTATTCTTTTTATCCTTCGTTTGCTATTACCACAAATCTTGTACTGTTATTACTTGCCATCCGTACTCCGTTAGTTTGCTATCACTGCATATCTTGTACTGTTGTTACTTGCTATCAACACTTCTTTCATATTCTCTTTTGCTGTCTTGGATTTAGTTTTCTAAATATCCTGTATTGCTATTACTTACTATTAGTGCTTCTTCCATCTTTTATTTAGCCGAGGGTCTATTCGAAATAGTTTCTCTGCCCTTTCAAGTTAGGGGTAAGGTTGCGTACATTCTATCCTATCCAGATCCCACTTGTGGGATTACACTGGGTTGTTGTTGTTGTTGCTTTAATGTGGAGAAATGAAGCACCGCAGTAGTATTTTCCATTCACTGCAACAACTACACCTCAATTCCAAGTTGTTGTTGGCTATATAAATACTCAATATCCATTTTGGTCCAATACTGAGCATGTCCCAACATATTCAGTATTGTTTAAGATTCATCACAAATTGACTAGTTTTTCCTTAACTGTCAACGTACTACAACCCTCTTCTTTTATGGTGGCTTGAAAACTTATTATAGGGGCGGAGTTAATATTCTCACTTCACTACTTTCAAAGATAATCCTCCTGACATTCTACTGTAGCAAAGAACACGTGATTTGGCTGTTAAATGATCATAGACCAGTTCCAGTAACTTTGTTTAAATTCTCACACTTTGACTGCATCTGTAGATATAAAATCATTTTTACAAGAGTTCGACTGATGGTTCCACAGTCTAATCATCAGTACATTGGACTCTGATTCCAGCAGGCTGAGTTCAGATCTAAGTGGAACCTTTAGCTTTCACAGCACATAGAGGAAAAACATATATTTACACAGTCGTATTTTGCACCTTTTACCCTTGCTTTTTTGGGTAACTTAGCTTTTACTTTTATTTTCGTGCAAATCACCACAGAATTTTTGTAATAGACAACTAAACTAAGTGGGTTCTTAATAACATCACTAACTTTTGCTGCCTTTTCCACACTCCATCACTGACCTTGTTCCTCAAACCTCTTGAAACTTCCCCCAAATCCCGCAAGGTTGTGAGTTTGTAGAAGCAGGATGGGTGTTGGTGGATGAGTTGTTGGTCCCGGCAACAGGGATTGCGGAGCTTCTTATCAGGACCCATATTAGCAGTGGTGGCAGGTGGACAGTGTGCTAGATTTGTCTACTTTATATGTGTTTACTCGTAAAACGGTACAGTTGAATTTATAGCGTGGTTTATAGACAAACGAATCGATTTGATCCCAAAATGATAAACAAATTAAATAAAATGCGAGACTTAGCGTTAAAATCGAGATAAGATAGCAGACAGCTTGGTTCCGGGAGCAAGGCTTCCAAAGACAGTAATAAGAATATTGATAGACAGAAAATAAAGTATTACTCTCTCTGTTTCAATTCAAATGACACACTTTCCTTATTAGTCCGTTCCAAAAAGAATGACACATTTCTACAATTGGAATTAATTCAACTTTAAACTCTTAATTTTAGCTATTTTACCCTTAATGAAAAGCTTTTATAACCACACAAGTATCAGCTATCATGGCCCCACAAAGCTTTTATCCCTTAAGCTTTTAAGACCACAAGTTTCAAAAGTATTTTTTTTCTTAAACTCCGTGCCAAGTCAAACTACTCCGTCTAAATTGAAACGGAGGGAGTATTAAGCTTGGAATAATGTGTATCATGAGTTTTTCCGAAATTTCGCGTCTTACAATAGCTGTTGAAGTCACTATTTATAGCTATAGGGAACAAGGTCCTAGGATCAAGCTCCTATTAAATGACAATAATGGGGGCCATTGATGAATATATAACGGCAGGCTATGAATGCCAAAATTCTCTGTAACAGGTTGTGTATTTAATACTGAGGAATATTCTTCATTGAATGTCATCTGGTGGCAAATGTTCGTTTGCCCTCGTCAACAATGTTCCCTCCGGGGTCGGCTCGATGTCACCCGAAGCTGTTGTCCTCGGTCTTGGTTTCCACTCGCTTCTTCCGTCTGTCTCCGGCTTCGCGTGCCATTCTATCCTTCGAGTATTTAATGTGATCCGATTTTACCCTATACAGAAAGTCCCCCTGCTTTCCGATGGCACATCTTTGTGTCATCGGGAAGTCGGTGAAGATTTCTTTCTTGGCGGAAAATTTGCTGAACCATTCTGAAATTTTTTTGACGCTTGATTAGACGCACGTCTCTCCGCATTTAATACTCCGAACACGTGTCATTCACGATTTAGCAATATTTTCGCCTGTTCTCGAGGTAATCATGGCCACAATTTTAGCAATATGAGAGTTAAGGCCAATTTTTCGAGGTGCGGATGATGAGTTTTCGCTCCCGATAAATTTTTCTAACATAATAGATCGAAGACACTTTTCTGATAAAATCCTTTAGGAGTTCATTATAACAGGACGAATGTGTTTCTCTACCGGTCTAAAGATTTCTTAAACTTGCAGCCACCTCGGCGATCTTTGGATGGATACAAGCATGTTGTAGATATGGAATATTGTTCAGCCGTTCCATCTGAAGGTCCCCATTTCCCTCCTGAAGCAGCCAAAGCAAAGGAGGCAGCTCAAAATGCACCCAGCGCACAGACCACATTGGAATACCATGAAATTATGGAAGGTAATATTACTAAGAAGCGTACAGTTGAAAATGAATCTCAAAGCCCTTACATCTGCTTATTTTACGGCACACTGAATCTCAGTACTCTTTTTCGAACAGAGGAAATGATACGTGGCTTACAGCAGTTAAGTTGGAAGAAAGTTGATGTTAGCTTTCACTCAGCGTTTTGGCCTTTCTTCGCCCATAACAATATCCATGTAAAGTCCTGGCAAATATGTTAAGGTTCCAACCTGTCCATCTGTATCTAATTTTATCACTATTCCTGGTAACAGGTAAAGAATGAATGGTTTCACAATGCTGGAGCTGGAGTAATTGCACATGTGGCGGACCATATAAAGCAACAAGAGAAGCAACAGGAATACTCATTTTTAACTGCTAGTTTGTAGTTCATGCAGCTGTTCAACAATTGATATTGTTTAGAAAGGAATGACGCTAGTTTCTTCCTTCTAATAGCTATAATTGATTGCAATGTTACTCTGTTTTAAGTTGCTGTAAAGTACTTGGGCAAACTGCAAAAACTTTAGGAAGTCGTGGAACTGGGCAATGTTATACTAAAATGGTGTTGCTTTCGTTGTGCAACTGAAGGGAGAAACAATGATGCCAACATTTTGATTACAAGACGAATAAATCAAAGAAATGTGAGGGCAAGAACTTCCAACCTGGAACTGTTTGGAGGAAAATGAATTCTGATGAAAATTTGAGAAGATATAGCAGGGAAGGCATTCTAGAAATAGTTTGGGGTAAAACTATTTTCCATCGTTAGCTGGAAAACAAACAGTAGAATATTGTTGACAAGCTAAGATTAACTTAAGCTAAACATTGACCAAATGAAATATTGCACCAAAAAGAACACAGCATGTTATCCACTCCTAAGATAACATAATGAACAGTTAGGCCTCTCAATATATTTGGTTTACAATCTTCCGGAGTGCGTGGCAAATCTAGGATTCAACCCTACAAGTAGTTGTGACCAAATATAATCAAGGTGATAATGGACATGCAAAATAAGCTCTTGATTTGAAAAACAAATAGGGGCGCAGATCATTTTTAGTTGGTCTACTCTTTGGAATGACAAGTAGGGTGCAGTCTTGATCTTAGAATTTGCAAATGGCAAGCATCATGGGTATTACTAGAACATAAAGGTGTCAAATGTCTTTGTCCAGTACAATATTATCAGTTCTTTTGGGGGTAAAAAGGTTCAGGAGATCAGTTACATTCAACTTACGGTGTTTTAAAAGTTTGCTAGAGGTAAGGGTAAATTTAGCCGAATAATATAACAATACGGGTAAATTTAGCTAGATAATCTAGGTAAATCTAGGTAAAGCTTATTGAGACTTGAATCTTAACTTCGGTGAAAGTCAGAAATCATGTCGGTGGAAAGGTACATAAGCTGACCAGTTCGAACTTCTTTACCAAGAAAGAGAAATGCAACAACAGTTCAAATGACAAAGGTCAAGACTTAGATATATATAAACCAGGTATACTAACAGATTGAATTAGGGTCCGTTTGCAAAGCCACAGGGTAATTGGAATTTGTGTAATTACTAGGGTAGTAATTACACAGCCTAGTAATTACACAGTATTGTAATTACGACGACCTGTTTGTTTGTTATAGTGTGATTACAAGTTTACTATTTGGTTGCACAAGTGTAATCACACAGTTAGATAAAATTTTAAGTGAAGCAATTATCAAAACTTAAAAGTTAATATAATAAATATATGCCTATAAATGATTTTTATAATTATAAATGATATTATATTTGGTATTTAAGATGTATATTTTTTCGTGAATATACATTAATTAGCAATCATATATTTATAACTAATATTGTGGAGATAATTTATAATAATATTTGGTTTAGTTACTTACAAAAACTAAAAATGTACATTTTGTAAGAACATCATGGAATTCATGTTTGATAAAATATATTAATATTTATAAATATAATGTCATAATATTATTTAAATATTTGACGAAACTAATGTATCAATTCTAATTAAAAATGAACAACATGCAATGTGAGCCAATGCTGCTATAACAAGTAAATTGGAACCAAGAATATAATACAATTTCAAAATCCGCCCCCCCCCCCTAAAAAAAAATAGTTTAATATATATCAAATTCCAACATAACTTAAGATTAGGATACATAATAAATTTATAACCACATTCGACAACAAAAACATTAATTGCATCACTCATTACATATCAAGTTTGTTAATGACTAATTATTTCTAATATTAGGAGGTGTAGATTAAAAACTAGAGTAATCAAACAAATAAAAATAAAATATAAGCAATTACATGAATCACAAGAAGTAAATGTAGAGAAATAAAATATAAATAATGTACAAAAAAATATATTTTAAATTTTCAAAAAACTTAAAAGTAATAATAAAATTAAAAGGTAAAAAATACAAATAAAAGTTATAAAGAAAATAAATTAAAATAAAATAAAAAGGGAAAGAAACTAAAAAGCAACCTTGTAATTACACAGTAATTACCACCAATTCTCACATCCCTTGAGAATTGGAGAGTGTAATTACACCCCTCCAATTATACCCAATTCCATGCTGACCAAGTAATTACTTGGCCAGACAAACATGCCAAACTGTGTAATTACACCCAATTAAACCCAAATTCAATTCCTAGTTGGCTTTCCAAACAGGCTCTTAAGCTAAATAAAAGGAGTGGTGGTTTGGGAATTCCCTTTAAAGCAATGTCATGACCCAAAATTTCACCAAAGGATTGTGATGGCATCTAACCCACTCGTTAGGCAAGTCAACATGCAGTAACAACTATAGAATCAAATTATTACGCCATTAACTGTTTCATGATATAAATAACAATGCCGAATAAATGCCAATTCAACATCATAATTATAAAATCAAAGACAAGGTGTAAATACGACCACATCTATCTAGCAAACCCCCAAAATCCGGTGCCACTATATCACGAGCATCTAATAATTAAGAGTAACAAGTTTCACCTGAATGATAATATATGTCTGGAAAAAAAAAATACATAAACATAAATGAATAAGTAGGAAAGGGGGACTCTATGTGCTGCGAGTCGAATCAAGTATAACAGCTCAGCACGAAGTCTCCAATTAAATACTCCTAATAAGCTCAATGGGTACCGTAAATACCAATCTCAGAACCTGCACAAAATATATAGAAGTGTAGTATGAGTACAAAACCACAATACTCAATAAGTATCAAATTTAACCTCGAATAAGTAGTGGCGAGAGATCTATAGTCGGATCTACTAACAACTCAATAATCACAAGAGGTGTAACAACATATGGAATAAAGCATGATATTATCAATCAAGTCTACCAGTAGAAGCACAAAACTGATATGTAAACATACTTTTCAAACAAGAGATATCACATAATATCAGGTATCTCAAATCATTCATAATCATGATATGCGCCAAATAACAGTCAAATAAAAGTAAGAGACACTGCATGAGTCTACTCTACTAATGCACACTCATAATCCTATATCAATTCTCACTACATAACTCAATATACCCGACACTAACAGAGTGTCCAAATCAATACCAATTTCAGTATCATGCGCTCGCAGGGCTCAGAGTAATATGAGTAATCACCTGACTCCCGAAGGATGATACCAAATTTAAGCATTGTGCGGTATGCAACCCGATCCATTAATAGTAATAAAAATCGTTGCGATGTGCAACCCGATCCGCATATATTTTTGTGGCGGCGTGCCGCCCGATCCATACATAATCCCATGGTGGCGTGCCACCCGATCCATACATATTCTCGTGGTGGTGTGCCACCAGATCCACTCATATTCTCGTGGAGGTATGCCACCCAATCCATACATATTTTCGTGGCAGAGTGCTACCCAATCCGCACCTAATAATACTGTTGTGGTATGCAATCCGATCCGCACAACATCATCAATAACCAATATCCGCTCATAATATTGTGGTGCCCAAATTCTTAATTTTTTTCATAATATTTAAATCTCAAACTCATAGATATATGTATGAGACAACATAATTAAAGGCACCGAATCATAATAATAGAAATGCGGGTAAAAGTACATAAGGCTAAAAGATGACTATGGCTAATCTTGTAATTCAATTCATCTCAACAATTCAATAAGTAATTTCATCATTCAAAAGTCTTATTATAATATTTATCATGAATGAGATAAGCTATTTAACCACCAAATCATGAATCAATAAGACAAGTATATGACTACGGCTCTGATCACGCCCAACTCTAGTCCTAAAAAGGATAAGCGGTCGATGCAAATATAATCCGATCTAAAAGTCCGGAGTCGAATCCCATAGAGAACTAAGGCTTAGCTATATCTGTTTAATATCACTAAGAAGACAAGTTTGAACAATTTTCTAAATTATAAAAATTGAGATTTATATTTTTAACTAATTAACTAGCAAATACTACAAAGCGGTTAAATTATCAACTAACGAGACAAAGGGTTGAAGACTAAATTAAGGAGGTCTAGAGTTATGATTTCCCCAATTGTCGGAATCCTTACAACTATGTTCCCTACAATTTCGCCGATGTATTCTCTACTGATCGTGAACACTTTAGGTGCCGTAATTCTCTCTCGAGCAACTACAACAATTTACTAGACATATTCTCTCGAACTACGCTAGTTGGCTTCATCTAACCGCTCACTATGACCACGTCAAGACTTTGTTATTTCTAAACCTACCTTTAAACCCAATGTATTGATTTCTCACATACGTTAGGAGTGATGTTGCTAAGCAACTACCTAAATATGTACTCTCTCTCGAGCAGTACACACTAAATAGGCACAGTCAATTAATGGCGACTCAATCAACAACAACAAACACGTAGTTGAACAAGTAGAGAAATCCAACGGCCTAATTATATAAAAACATAACAAGAATTTATCCTACAAAAGGTTCCATCAAAAACCTAGATAACAAATTAGCTATTCATAATAGTATGTAAAACTACAATACTAAAAGTCATAACCAACAATGAAAAAATAGGAAGTGAAAGGAAAAACTCGTAGAAGAATTCTCCGCCTTGCTCCTATTGTTTCTCTGCCTTCTTAGGTCAAATCTGTATCAAACGCGTGTCCAAAACTCTTAAAATACCGTTTTTCCATGTATATATACCAATTAGGGTCGAGCCCAAATAATTATACCTTCTCCTACATGAAAAAGGACAATTTTTTAGGTCTGAACCCTCGCGGTTGCGGTCCGGGCGCGGTATTTTCCCAGTGCACTGCCTCAGTCCGCGCCTAGGTCCGCAGTTGCAGTTTCGACCGCGTTTTTCATCCTGTTCCGTTTGGAATTTGGAAAAACGTAAAACATATAAGTTGTAGCCCTTTGAGTTAGGTTTCCAACCATATATTATATATCCCAAATGGAGTTCTGAGAGAAAAGTTATGTTCATTTTACTAGACAGTTTGCAATATGCCTACTCGATTCGTCGTTCGTTCTTAACTATCATCTGTTGATCCCCGAACACGATCCCGGCTTAATTCCTTGAGATTTTACTCATACTTCAAAGCTCCAAATCACTTGAATTCATTCCATAACCTC